CGCGAAGCGACACGCAAGTTGAAGCAGAGGTTGCGTCGGCAAGGCACCGAACCCCGAAAGGACCTCCGCCAAAAATCTGCTACAAGTTAACTCAATCTAGATCAAGCTTAGACAACAAACAGAGAGAGAGAGGAAGGAGGACGGGGGGGAACAAGACGAAACAGCCAGAGACGACACAACGCCAGGGAGAATAAAAGGGGGCGAGAGGCAACGAGGGGGACAGGACGAAAAGGAGGCAGAACGACAAGACGAAGAAGAGGAAGAGGACGTCAGGCCCGACCAGCGGCGAAAAGTCTGCTACTGAACTCACCATGTTGGAAGATGCGCACCACCGCATCGAACGAGAGGATGCCCAGGAAGAAGAAGCTGATAAAGACGATCCGAGCCTCGGCGAGAGAACCTCCAAAAGAACGTATCGACGAACACGTGGTACTGGCCAGGACAGCGATCTGAGCCTCGGAAGAGGACCTCTGGAAGGCCACCATGCAAAGAAAGCGCCAAACGAGATGGTGCAATCCTTGTTGTGGCGACGAGGCGGCGACGTGGCGGCGACGGCGAGAACATAGCCGCCAGACCGACCCGCAGGCCCAGACGACAGGGGGCGACGAGGCGGCGACAGGGCGGCGACGGCGACAACATAGCTGCCAGACCGACCCGCGGCCCAGTTACTTAGAGGAGAAGTGAGGAAGTCCTAAGTGCAAACACTGCTTGGAAAATGTAATGAACCACTTTGTCCTGCTGCAGACCACGCGCAGCGAGGCCTGCAACATGGTGGCCAGTCGCTGAGGCCGCAGGCGCTCCGTGGAGGGGTCGTACAGCAGCTCGCGGAGGGCCGCGAAGGAGCTCCGGCTCTCGCTCCTGTCGGGCAGGGTAAGCCCCCCCGAGGCGGGGGCCGGGGAGGGGGGAGGAAGACGAGGGGCCCAGATCTCCGCCGAGATGTTCGATTCGAGCGGCGGGGTTCCCTCGGTTTCGGCCCTCGGGGGCCGTGTTCGGGCCCCGTGGCCATCAAACAGATACCGGGGACGAAAACTACCCCCCGGGAAGCGGTCGGGACCTCTGGGGCCGCGGATTGAAAACGTCAGCTCGGCGGAGGCAAAAAGGTTACGGCCCTTGCCAGTGGGGAGAAACAAGAAAGCCATGGGGCCCAACATGGATCCAGCGTTGTGCGTCATAATTTCCAGGGGGGCGCTCACTGTGAGGGCAGATCTAGATCTGCGGCAGGTCATGTGCACGACAAGCTGCTAAGAACACGAGCCTGGCCCCAGCCTCGGTGACTGAGGCAGGGGAGGCGGGGATATTGACGAGCAAGGAGACTGGGCAGGGGCCGCAACAGGGTGACGAGAAGCAGAAGGGTGACAAAGAAGAGGAGACGGAGGGGAGGAGCAGACGACACTCGTTCCTGAGCAACTTCCGGACCACGAAAGGGTACGCCTGCGCCACCAGCTGGTAGCCAGGATCGCCTCTCAAGGCAATGCCTTCCAGGGTGGCCACGGAGCGTGCTAGCAGCGAGACGTACGGTGGGATGGAGAATTTGACCTCGGTGTTAATCTTCAATAAATCCTGCGTGAGAGCCTGGAAATTGGCATCCTTGTACGCGCTGGCGCCGCCGCCTCTGAGGTACGGCCCGAGCACACGTTGCAGGAGGGGGGCCAGGTCCAGCTTGTCGGTATCCTCGCTGAGGAAACCGAGCTTTATAAAGTCGTCGATGAAGGCGTCCCAATTCTGTGTGCCGAGGTGGACCACCGCGGACACGATCGTCTCGCGGTCCGCAGGTGGCACCTGCGCCACGAGCCCGAAGTCGAGCAAGCAAAGCTTGCCCTCGTCTGGTCCCTCCGTAACCTCACGAGCGGCGAACAGTTCCGTACCCGCGCACTCGCGGTCGGGATTCTGGGGCGCGATCCCGTGGATACGCTGTCGCACGGAGACGTTCCGCGCTGTCCGGTATCCGTGGGGTCGCCGCCCAGGAGCCCGGCCCGCGAGGCTGCGGATACGGAGATGTTTTTCGCCCCACAACTTTCAGCAAGTTTCCAGGGTGAGGATCCCCATGAAAGAAGCCGATTTCCAGTAGCTGGGTGAGGAAGACCTCTTGCCCAAGGTCGATGTACTCCTTGATCTCCGCTTGGGACAAGGTGTTAAGCTTCACAGCATTCACCCACTTCGAGAGCATGACCCTGCGGGTGGTGTGCTCCAACAAAGGCTCCGGAATGATCACCCTGCTCCAAATGTGCTCGGGGACACTCTGCTGCATCAACTCCTCCATCCGGATAGCGTTCAGCGCCTCATTGCGGAAGTCGAGCTCAGTGTACAGACCCTCTGCAAAAGTTTCTGTTAAGGCAATGTAGTCTGTCTCATCGGAAGTGAAGCGCCTGATCAGAGGTTGCGAGATGTCAGCCAGCCGCCTGAGGACGTAGAGGTCCTTAGAGACCGTCGACAAACCGCCTGGCCTCTGAACCTTCACGGCCACGTCCTCGCCCGTCTCACGCAATGTTGCCTTGTACACCTGTCGGGATCCAGAGACGACAGTCGAGCAGGCCACGTGCAACGACTCGACATGGCGAACACACCATTGATGCCAATTATGTATGTGTCTCATCGTGTTCATATTTGGATGCACGTTGCCCCAACATGTCAATGATACAATCAAGATGCTCGAAAAATCCGAACTTTGGTTTTGAAAGGGATTCCTCGAGTCGGTTCTTAAATTGTTCCTCGGGCGATCCACGTCACAAATCCAGGCGAAACTGGGGTCCCAAACGGGCTTCATTCCCAAAGTAAGAAGGGGCAACTTCTGAGTTCGCTTGGCCCACACTCGGGGCTTCTTTCTGGCGGCTTTCTGAATACGCTTGGCCCAAAGCCGTGCGGGCGAGTCGGTCGGGCAGGCGGGAAATGTCGTCATCGTCCTCGTCGTGGTCTTCCTTATCGTCGTCGTCGTCGTTTCACGGCGTTGGGGGGGAGGGCGTTCGAACCCCCCCCTTGGGGAGGGATGGGGAGGGGCGTTCGAACCCCCCTCTCGGGGAGGGGGCGTTGGACACATCGTCTTCGCGGGCGAGTCGGTCGGGCGGGCGGGCGGAACACGTCGTCGTCGTCGTCGGCGTCGTCGTCGTCGTCGTCGTCGTTTGCCCGCGCTGGGAGGGGAGGGGAACGGGGGGGGAGGTCGCCCCCCCCGCCAGATTTTTGAGAGGAGCGGGGGGTCGCACCTCCCCTCCGATTTCCTCCCTCCCAGCGAGCACAGAAGACGAGTTCCCTACGTCAGGGTTCTCATTTCAAGACTTGGGTTTAAAGCCAGGGGTCGAAAAGAAAGGATCTGCAAACCGTGCCTTCTGCAAGTTGGCACGTGTGGGAGACAATGTTAGCTGTCGTGGAGTTCCTGAATTTCTTCGAAGGCGATGCCTCCACCCGGTCTCGCGTCCCCAAGCACTTGTCCCCCCAGTTTTTTCCTGTGGGCATAAATCCCATCAGCTTTCTGGGCGTGAGAGATTTGGCGAGTTTCCTCTTCCAATCCACTCTTGTTCCCCTTCGGGGAGGGGTTTACCACTGTTCCCTTTTGATAGAGACCACCTCCCCCACCCCTACGGCAGCCAACCCGGACCCATGAGGGCACCCATGACAGCACCTCCCCGCCATCCCTGTCAACGAAACGATACAACATATACGCTTCTTCAGAATATGTAGCATGCGCGGCAATGCGCGGGCGCCCCGCCACCACTCTGCTTTATTTTCTGACAGGGACGGCCAGGGTGCTGGCATACTGCTTGCTGCGCGCAGGCCGACCCCCCCCCCCACCATGCCTTGCAAAAACTGCACGGGAAGTTGCAGAAAAAGTTGTGCATGCGCGGACGCCCCGCTACCATCTTGCATGTTTCCCAACACTCCTGTGTTGGGCACTCGTTTTGAATTGAGCAATGTGGTCGCCCCGTCCTCATTCCTCCTTCCTCCTCCCCTCTCCTCCCCTCCTCCTTCTCTCCTGTTTCCTGTGTTCCCCTCTCCTCTTCTCTCGTGCCGCGTCTAGCTGCGATCTGCGAAACTGTCGGCACTTTCGTGGGCTCCTGGGAGGCCCAGCGAAGGTACGTCATACGCAGATCACCACTATAGCTCGCGGTACCGTGGGTGACTGCGATCTGCGAAACTGTCGGTACTTTCGTGGGCTCCTGGGAGGCCCAGCGGAGGTACGTCATACGCAGATCACCACGATAGCTCGCAATACCCTTGGTGGCTGCGACCTGCGGAACTGTCGGCACTTTCGTGGGCTCCTGGGAGGCCCAGCGGAGGTACGTCATACGCAGATCATCACTGTAGCTCGCGGTGCCCTGCGGGGCTGCGATCTGAGGAGCTGTCGACACTCGTGGGCTCCTGGGAGGCCCAGCAAAGGTACGTCATATGCAGATAACCAGTATAGCTCGCGGTGCCCTGGGTGGCTGCGATCTGCGAAAATGTCGGCACGTTCGTGGGGTCCTGAGAGGCCCAGCGGAGGCACGTCATGCGCAGATCACCACTGTAGCTCGCGGTGCCCTGGCTGGCTGCGATCTGAGAAACTGTTGGCAATTTCGTGGGTTCCTGGGAGGCCCAGCAAAGGTACGTCATACGCAGATCACCACTATAGCTCGCGGTGCCCTGGGTGGCTGCGATCTGCGAAACTGTCGGCACGTTCGCGGGCTCCTGGGAGGCCCAGCGGAGGTACGTCATACGCAGATCATCACTGTAGCTCGCGGTGCCCTGCGGGGCTGCGATCTGAGAAGCTGTCGACACTCCCGTGGGCTCCTGGGAGGCCCAGCAAAGGTACGTCATATGCAGATAACCAGTATAGCTCGCGGTGCCCTGCGTGGCTGCGATCTGCAATACTGTCGGCACTTCCGTGGGCTCCCGGGAGGCCCAGCGGAGGTACGTCATACGCAGATCACCACTATAGCTTGTGGTGCCCTGGGTGGCTGCCATCTGCGAAACTGTCGGCACTGTCGTGGACTCCTGGGAAGACCAGCGGAGGCACGTCATACGCAGATCACCACTGTAGCTCGCGGTGCCCTGGGTGGCTGCGATCTGCGAAACTGTCGGCACGTTCGCGGGCTCCTGGGAGGCCCAGCGGAGGTACGTCATACGCAGATGACCAATATAGCTCGCGGTGCCCTGGGGTGGTTGCGATCTGCGAAACTGTCGGCACTTGCGTGGGCTCCCCGGGTCCCATCGGAGGTACGTCATGCACGGACCACCAATATAGCTCGCGGTGCCCTGGGGTGGTTGCGATCTGCGAAACTGTCGGCACTTGCGTGGGCTCCCCGGGTCCCAGCGGAGGTACGTCATGCACGGACCACCAATATAGCTCGCGGTGCCCTGGGGTGGTTGCGATCTGCGAAACTGTCGGCACTTGCGTGGGCTCCTGGGAGGCCCAGCGGAGGTACGTCATACGCGGACCCCTACAAACGCCCCTTGCGCGCCTGTTGTGTATTTTCGCCCCTGATATTCTTGCTGCGCTCTTCTGAAATCACTGCTGGGTGCTCTTCTTGCGCACTGCGAGTCCTTCAGAATGACAGTCAGCATTGAGTGGTCCTGAGTAGACCCGCCACATGTATAGAAAAGGTTGGGTACGTCGCAGGGTAATTTGAAAGGCGGGGGAGGCAGTAGACTATCTACAATGCCAGCACCTCTCAACCGCCCCTTGCAACAAACAGTACTACTTGCACATTGTACCAACATCTAGATCATGCGCGGACGCCTCGCACTCACATTCCATTTGTTCCGAACCATCCTGTGGTGTTGGGTCCTCGTTTTGAAAAGACAGCGCCCCGCGTCAATCCTCCTCACCTCTCCTCCTCCTCCCCCCCTCCTCCCTCCTCCCATCGTCATCATCATCCTCATGATCATTACCATCACCCCTCACACGTTTCGTGGCCCCACAGGGAGCTCCACCGAAGGCCACAGGGGCTGCGTTCACATGCGCCCACCGCACCCATGTCGGCACACCCCTCAAACGCTTCGTGGCCCCACAGGGAGCTCCACCGAAGGCCACAGTGGATGCGCTCACATGCGCCCACCGCACCCATGTCGGCACACCCCTCACACGTTTCGTGGCCCCAAAGGGAGCTCCACCGACGGCCCTGTGGCTGCGTTCGCATGCGCCCACCGCGCCCATTTCGGCACACCCCTCACAAGCTTCGTGGCCCCATAGGGAGCTCCACCGAAGCCCTTGTGGCTGCGTTCGCATTCGCCCACCGCGCCCATATCGGCACACCCCTCACTCGTTTCGTGGCCCCATAGGGAGCTCCACCGAAGGCCACAGTGGCTGCGTTCACACGCGCCCACCGCACCCATGTCGGCACACCGCTCACACACTTCGTGGCCCAATAGGGAGCCCCACCGAAGGCCCTGTGGCTGCGTTCGCATACGCCCACCGCGCGCATTTCGGCACACCCAATAGGGAGCTCCACCGAAGGCCACAGTGGCTGCGCTCACATGCGCCCGCCGCACCCATGTCGGCACACCACTCATACGCTTCCGGGCCCCAGAGGGAGCTCCACCGAAGGCCCTGTGGCTGCGTTCGCATGCGCCCACCGCGCCCATTTCGGCACACCCCTCACATGTTTCGTGGCCCCATAGGGAACTCCACCGAAGGCCCCAGTGGCTGCGTTCACATGCGCCCACCGCACCCATTTCGGCACACACCCCCACAAGTTTCGTGGCCCCATAAGGAGCCCCACCGAAGGCCCCAGTGGCTGCGTACACACGCGCCCACCGCACCCATGTCGGCACGCCCCCCACACGTTTCGTGGCCTCACAGGGAGCTCCACCGAAGGCCCTGGTGGCTGCGTTCGCATGCGCCCACCGCGCCCATTTCGGCACACACCTCACACGTTTCGTGGCCCCACAGGGAGCTCCACCGAAGCCCACTGTGGCTGCGTTCACATGCGCCCACCGCACCCATTCCGGCACACCTCTTACACGTTTCGTGGCCCCAAACGGAGCTCCACCGAAGGCCCCAGTGGCTGCGTTCACATGCGCCCACCGAGCCCATTTCGGCACACCCCTCACACGTTTCGTGGCCCCACATGGAGCTCCAAGGCCACAGTGGCTGCGTTCGCATGCGCCCACCGCACCCATTTCGGCACGCCCCTCATACGCTTCGTGGCCCCACGGGGAGCCCCACCGAAGGCCACAGTGGCTGCGTACACAAGCGCCCACCGCACCCATGTCGGCACACCCCTCACACGCTTCGTGGCCCCACAAGGAACTCCACCGAAGGCCCCCGTGGCTGCGCTCGCATGCGCCCACCGCACCGATTTCGGTACACCCTCACACGTTTCGTGGCCCCACAAGGGGCTCCACCGAAGGCCCCAATGGCTGCACGTTTCGTGGCCCCATAGGGAGCCCCACCGAAGGCCCTGTGGCTGTGTTTGCATGCGCCCACCGCGCCCATTTCGGCACACCCCTCACAAGTTTCGTGACCCCACAGGGAGCTCCACCGAAGGCCACAGTGGCTGCGCTCACATGCGCCCGCCGCACCCATGTCGG